GTTGCAACCTAGAAGACACAAATTTGACTAACAAGTTATAAGTACATGAGTCCAAAAATTATGGAAAAGTAAAAGAAAAGATTCTTTCATTGTTTACAGACACTTTGGATTTCCAGTCATTCATTGTTGCACTTTTCTCCTTGTTCACCCCTCCCTCCCCAGTTTGCTCTTCTCTTTGAAAAGTAAAAGTAATATTCTTTCATTGTTTTACAGTCCCTTGCCCCCAGGTCCACTCCACTATGCAGCCTCCATTCTGGACTCCTGTCATTACAATAATACCCAATCATATATCCCTTTTAAACAGTTCTCTCCCTCATCTGTTTCCATACAGTATACATTATTTGTCCCATCTTTCTCAGTCTCCCCCCAGCCCTGATGTCAGTCCCGTTTTACAGCAGTGGCATTATGCAGTTCTTTTGTGACTGAGATACTTCACTCAGCATAATGTCCTCGAGGGTCACCCAGTTTGAATAATACTGCATGAGTTCCTTGTTTTTCAATGCAGTGTAGTATTCCATTGTGTGAATATACCACAGCTTTTCTGTCCATTCATTTGTTGATGGGCACTTGGGTGGTTTCCATCTCTTTGCTGTTGTGAACAAAGCCACGATAAACATGGGTATGCATATATCTGCTTGGGTGGCAGTTATGGTTTCTTTGGGGTAACTATCTTATAAACTTGCTAAAGGTTCTCCCTCTCCCCTTATTTGCTTATTAAGGAAATCTACCACTGTCGAAGACAAATAAAATACAGCAAAGACAAGATGTGGTATTTGGCAAAGTTGGTAAGTAAAACTGACCATTACTATACATTACTTATGAGAATAAACTAGAATTTGTCACCTAAGAATTGAAAAAAAATTTTTTGCCTGAATTTCTTTGAAAAATAAATAATATAATTAATTGTATGTTTAGGCCGTTGGTAAGTAATCAGACATATGATGCTCAAGAGAGTAATGATTTTACTTGTTTTTTATAATTCTTTGGAGAAATGAAATTACACCAACTAGGTATTTAAAACAAAAGCATCAAATTTTATAATATTTGAAGAGTTCTAGCCAGGGCCAGGAAATTCAGAAAACTGTGATCTCTCTCTGTAATTCCTGCTTTCACTGTTTTGAAACTATATAATCTAGATTTTATTGTTAAAATATTTTGGTTTGATTTTGATTGGAGTTGATAACATACCTTCTGGAACTTATTTTCTTCTTTTTTGCCTGGATTAATTCACTAGATTATGTAAGACATTTATTCTTTGCAGAAAAAAGATTGACTTTGTAAACCAATTTGTTTATCCTCTTTGGTCTCTCACCATTTAATTCAAGGTAAAAGGAATGTCCATTGATCAGGCTTTGGCTCAGTTGGAATTCAGTGACAAAAAAGGGGCCCAAATAGTTAAAGAGGTAAGCTTGCAAAATTTGTTGGGGATGGGGCAGTCTTGTCAGTATTGGTAAAGTCAGCATGAATTCCGAATTCCCTGATTTGTCTGTCCCCAAATACATTATTTGATTTTGGACGTATGATCTTGGTAGCATAGTACATAGCCCATTGCACTGCTTAGCTAAAAGGTTGGTGGTTGGAATCAATCAGCTACTCTGTAGTAGAAGAATGAAGAGTCTCCTCCCATGAATGTTTACTGCCTGTGAAACTTGATAGGGGGACACTATGAGGAATTTACTTGGGGCACTGATAGAGTTTAGGAAAGTTATATGTGTTACGTTGTTTTTTTCCTCTGATGCTTTTACTTGCATCAGACATTTATTTATTACTGTCTATGCTATGAAGGATATTTTATGTCTGAAAGTTTAGATTTTTTTTTGGAAAAAAAGAAAAGTTGTTTGATGTTGTTTTTAAATCACTTTCATAAATGAGAGCTTCTAATTTTTTAATTAGTTAAGTAGAACTAGCCCTGGAATAGGACACAGGAGTTTAGTTTTTTCAATGTTATTTTTATTCTGACCATGAACAAGACACTTGCCATTCTGGTTCCATTTTTCATATCTAGAAACTGAGCAGTAAAGAATTAGCTCTTCAAGGTTTAAATGTAGCTAATTTATTAGGCAGAATTGTTCCCAGCCAAGTATCTGATCATTCTTGTCATAAAAATGGTCTTTCTTGTTTCTTTTTTTTTCAATTTTATTTTATTAATTTTAATGAACATTTACAGAGATTTTGGATTTTCATTCATTCATTATTGCACTTTTTTTTTCTTGTTTCTAAGAGCTGTGTTGACTATTGTCCCTTGCTATCTAGGGAGTTTGGCATAATTTTCTCTATTTAATTTTCACCTAAATTCAGTTCTTGTCCTATGGTTTAGGGAACTGTAGTGTCTTAGTGATAAGGAATTGCACTGCCAGCAGGTGGTACATGGTTCAAATCCACCAGCTGTTCTGTGGGAGAAAGATGAGCAGTCTCCTCCCAGAGGAGGAGGAGAAGACGAACTCAGAGGGATTAACCGCCTCTGAAAACCTGCTGGATGGTCAGCTATGGGTCGGTCCCAACATGATGCTACATGACAACAGTGACAACAGTAATAACATCCTACTGTTCAGTAGTTGAGTAGTTGGGATTGATGTTGCTGACCTCAGAGAGGTTCCACTGTAATGACTTACTTTTACTATGTTCATTCAGTTCATTCACTGCATTAACTAAGTGTCTATTGTGAACACAGTCTTATACTAAGAACTTATTTTTAAAGAGGGAAAGATCTTTTGGTATGGTGGTAATGGCCGTATTTTAAGAAAATGTGTTTGGAGAGAAAATAGCTTAATTTAATACACTTAAAACTTAATAATGAATTTCCTAGAAGAATTTCTTAAGTATGACTTTTTTCCCTTCTTCTCAGCTCTCATATTGTTTCTTTGGATATAAAGTATAAGAATTTTTAATATGAATTTTTAAATAAGATTTAACCTTTGAGCTTTTTAAAGTTTTTGAGACATCTCTGACTCAAAGATATAATATTCATTGCTAAGGTTACTCCTCACAATTGCTGCTGGTGCCTCCTTTACAGATACATACTCATTTAAACTTAAGTAGAATTCTGTATTTTACTGCTGTTGTCTGAGGAAGAAAAGCTTACTGTATCCCTTCTTAGTACTGTTATCTCTTGAAATTCTCTTTTTAACATTTACTCTAAAATGGAAGCTTCTGATTACTCATATTATAGAGAGGAGAACAGGAAATGAGAAATTTAATTCCATTTTAGTTCAAGGCCCACCATATGAACAATTTTCTTTTTTTTAAGGTTCTCTTAGAAGCACAGGATATGGCAGTGCGAGACCACAATGTGGAATTCAGATCTAACTTATATATAGGTAAGATTTTTTTTAATGTTTTTGACTTTGGAATATATCTTCCTTATCTAACAGTAATCTCTAACATTTAATTCCTCAGGATTGGGTTTACCAATATAAATTACTGGTAATGGCTAACTAATCCTTTACCTTTCAATATCTAAAAAAAGATTCCTTTATTTTTATCTGTTCTGTAAAGCAACTGTGAACATGAAACCTGTTACCAATAATTGTTAAATAAAAGATGGTGAGACTTGTGCATGAGAACCCTCATTACTGTTGAGTCTGAACAGACTCATTGCTGACCCTCCAGCAGGTTTCAGATGCTGTAAATGACATGGGAGAAGAGGGCTCATTTTTCTCCTGTGGACTCAAACCACCTGCCTTTGAGTTGGCAGTGCGACTCCTTTCCCACTAGGCCACCATGAGCTCCTGCAGTTCCTCGAGTAATCCTTTAATCATAATAAAACTAAGAAAGAACATGACTTTCTTAACAGTTTGGTTTTTTAAGTGAATATTTTATCAAAAGGAAGTAGATAAATTAAGGCTCTGAGATGGACTTAAACAAATATTTATAATGTGCAAAACCAGACGCATAATCAATCTAAAGATATCCTGTATTTTAACTTTCCTCTTATCTGAATGGAAAATTTGTTGAATTGTAAAAGCCAAGGGACCTTGGAGCGCTTGGATGACCTAGATGTAGTTGCTTCTCTTTGTTATTACACCCTGAAGCATTATCTCCAGTTTTATATGCTTGTTTCACATCAAATTAAATTAATGTGAGTGAAAATGCTTTGGGAAGCATGATGCACTATAGAAGTGTAGGGATTTATTCTGCAGCATACCTTCACATAGCTCTTTTCCTAGACGTAGTTCAGCGTTCATTACAAAGCTCTTTGCCCCCCTTCCAATACCGCGGTGAAATGGGGCAGCAGCCGAAGTTATTGTTTTCTTCTCACTTCAGCAGCAGTTCCTTCTAACCTCAGCAGTTTTGTAATCAAACAAAAATGTTGATGTCAAAGCAAAAATATCTCAATCTGCCAAGCTAAGTTTTCTCAATCTGCCAAACCAATAGTCTAAGAAAGACTATTTTATCTAAAAACACTTAAGCTTAAAATAGGGGAATTTGCTGTTTGCCAAATCAATTTAAGGGAAATAAGTTGTGTTGTATAATTTCTCAACAGAGTTAGAAAAAAAAAATCACCATAATTAAACTTTGTCACAAAATCTCTGCCCTAATAGAGATACTTCTTCTTGTTAAGTAAAAATTTTAACTCACCTGGAATTGATGTTGGTAACCACACTTAATTCTGGGATTCAAATAAGGTATGGTTTTTCAAGTAGAAATATTTTGAATCCAAGTATTATTATATTCTGATACATACGTAGATAGAGAATGAAGTAGAAATATCAGCTTAAAAACATTTAGGACCACAGTTGTTAATCACGAGCATTTTCTTCTGGAAACAGTGTGAATACATAATGCTGGAGAGGTCCCAGCATCACTGAAAGAGGTGAGATGGACGAGGAACAAGATTATTTGCTTAAAACCTCTTGGTAACCTTTCCTGCTCAATAACTCTGAATCGAAATCACATTTAATTAACTTTATTAAATGGAATAAGAATATAGACTTCTTAGCTGCTAGATACCCCTTTGTAATAGAATTCAAATGGAGTAAGATTTGTCTTGAAATCTTTTTGTTACCTTTGTCTTTAAATCCTTGTCTTCACAAAGGCAGAAACAAGTTTCAGTGTTTGCATTAAACAAAAACAAACCTATCCAGACCTATGAGAATGTGTCTTGAATTCAGAGAGTCATTCTGCACTTTTCTGCCCGAATTTCTCTGTTCCACATTCATTCTTTTTTGTCTAATCTTATGTAAAAATTACTTTTCTAAAGTAGAGCCGGATTAGTGTGGGATTTTTAAAATTCTCATTTATTAACTATACTTTTGCGTAATTCCACGTAGGCCTACATGAATTAGAATTGACCAGATGGCAACAAAAAAATCCTTTTATGAAGGGAAAAGAGATTAGTACCCTGCTGTTAGGTGCTGTCAAGTCTGTTGCAACTCTTAGCGATCTCATGAACAACAGATTGCAACCTGGCCTTATTTTGTATTATCAACAAAGTGTTTGCCATGCCCAAGCTCATTGTTGTAGTTTAACTCATTGGAGTTCTTACTCTTTTTCACAGACTCTCTGATTTTTCCCCACATGATGCTTTTTTCCCTTCTGACAACATGCTCGAAGTATGTGACGTGTAGTTTCACCATCCTTGCCCCTATGGGGCATTCTGGTTATACTTGCTCCAAGACGGCTTTGTTCTTTTGGCAATCATGGGATGTTCAGTACTCTTCAGTAACAACATAATGACTTCAAAGGCTTTAATTCACCTGTCTTCCTTATTCATGAATGCAACTTGCAGATGCATATGAAACAAAAGAATATATCTTAGGCTTTAAACTGATATCCTTCCTCTTTAGCACCTTAAAGAGGTTCTTGACAGCAGATTTCACCCCCCAATGCAGCATGTACTTTGATTTCTTGACTGCTGCTTCCATCGATGTTGATTTATACTAAAATGACCTAAGTAAAAGGAAAAAATTAACAGTTTCAATCTTTTCGTCATCTATCATCACCTTTTCTGTGGATCCAATTGTTTGGGTTTTTCTTTTATTGATATTTAGATGTAATCTACATTGAAGGCTGTGGTTTTTTATTTTCTTTAGTAATACTTTTGACACCAATGAGTGAAGACCAAGTGAGATGTGGGATGATACCAAGAATATAATCCAGGAAGAATGCAAAAGGTCATTAGAAAGGCATAGGAGGAAGAAAAGACCAAGATGGATGTCAGACAAGACTCTAAATATTTGACAAGAATGCCGAGAAGCCAAAGCAAAGAAAAGAAACCAGGAAATTAAGGAGCTGAACAGAAGATTTCAAAGGGCAGCTCGGGAAGACAAAGCAAAGTGTTATAATGAAATATGCAAGGAGCTGGAGTCAGAAAAGCAAAAGGGCCAAACTCGCTCAGAGTTTCTTAAGATGAAGGAACTTAAGAATATATTCAAGCCACAAGTTGCAATACTTCAGGATGCTTTGGGCAGAATATGAAATGATCCAGGAAGCATTAAAAGAAGATGGGAAGAGTGTACAGTCATGGCACCAAACTGAATTGGCAGACACAGAAGAATTTCATGAAACAACATATGAGCCAGAACCTGTGATGAAGAAAGAAGTTCAAGCTCCTCTGAAAGAATTGGCAAAAAACAAAGCTCCAGGAATTGATTGCATACCAATTGACATATTTCAACAAACAGACTACCGTGGATGTGTTCACCAAGTTGTGCCAAGAAATCTGGAGGACAACCACCTGGCTAACTGACTAGAAGAGATCTATATTCCATTCCAAAGAAAGGTGACCGGACAGAGTATGGAAATGATCATCAATATCATATTCAAACAAGATTCTGCTGAAAATGAACCAAAAACAACTGAAGCAGTACATCAACAGAGAACTGCCAGACGTGCAGGCTGGGTTTAGAAAAGGCTGTGATACTGGGGATATTATGGTTAATGTTAGATAGATCTTGGTTGAAAGCAGAGAGTACCAGAGCAATGTCTGTCTGTTTCATTGACTATGCAAAGGCATTTGACTCTGTGAATCACAGCACACTATTGCTGACTTTGAGAAGAATGGGAATCCCAGAACGTTTGATTGTGCTTATGTGAAACCTATACTTGGGCCAGGAGGGGGTGGTCAGAACAGAGCAAGGAGACACTGCTTGGTTCAACATCGGGAAGGATATATGCCAGGGATGTATCCTGTCTCCATACCGTTTCAATCTATATGCAGAACAGATTATCTGGGAGGCTAGGCTGTATGAGGAGGAATGTGACATCAGGATTGGAGGAACACTCATCAACCTACTTGCAATATGCAGATGACACAACCCTGCTTGCTGGAACTGAGGAGGACTGGTAGCAGTTGCTGCTGAAGGTTGAGTACTGCAGCTTTCAATGTGGATTGAAGCTCAATATCAAGAAGACAAAGATTGTCACCAATGGGCCAATTGGCAGCATCAGTATGGATGGTGAAGAGATTGAGATTGTTAATAGGTTTAGTTTGCTTGGCTCTACAGTCAACACTCTTGATACCAGCAGCCAGAAAATCAAGAGATGAATTGCACTGGGGAAGTCTGCTGTCAGGGACCTCTCTAGAATACTGAAGAGCAGTGACATCAGTCTGGAGACGGAGGTGTACCTGATCCAGGTCTTGGTCTTTGCAATTGCTTGCTATGCATCAGAGAGCTGGACA